AAAATTTTAACCTTTTGCGCGTCGCCTCCCCCTCTCTCCTCCCCTCCCCCCCCCCTCTGACCCCCCCCCCCCCCCTCCCCTTTCTCCCCCCCCCCCCCCACCCCCCCCCCCCCCCATGTTCCCGGGGGCCCCCCCCCCGGGTTCCCCCCCCCCCCCCACTGGAAAGGGGAATGAGCTGAAAATCAGTCTTAAGTCCTCAAAGCGTTTAATAAATTGGAGCTCTTAATCGATACTTGCTTTTGCACGTAATTCGAGATATATGGACATACAGACTACCAAGAAATTTGCTTCCCTTGCCTCTTACTTTCTGTATCTTAAACGCGCGTTTAATTTGTAATCTGCTAAGAAAAACATGAACAGTTAAACCAAACGGTGGATTGACTGAACCAGTCCTTGTTGATGCACATAGAATTTTTTTTTCGCTTTTCTGTTAAAATGAACATGTTCTTTGTTTTCACTATTTATTTTCTTATAATGACAATCAAACGGGGTTGCCCTTTAATGACAATTGATAGAAAACAGGTGATATTTACAGTCAAAAGTCTTAACCTTTGGCCAATTCGAGCCGTTAAAGCAAAACAGGAAAAGGCACATTAAACGGATTTTGGCCACAGGAAAACAATATATCTTTTTTTAGTTTAGTAAGGCTGACTTCCTGCATACATCGTCTTTGGGTCACTGTATAATTGATCTAGAGATTTCTTTCGCATGGCAAAATATTAACCTGCCTGCAAGCTTTAGCGAGGGCGGGGCAGGGGGTAGGAAAAGAGCGATACCCCATACTGCCTCCGAGATGTACTTGCCCTCAGGCTAGGAAAAATAAGGCTCTCGTAGAGTACGAATCCTCCCCTCTCCCTATTTTCCCTTCTCTAAAAATTCCTAATTCTTCCAACTTCTTTTCTTTACATAACTCCTCCTTTAACTCCCTGATTTTTATTGGCTAAGGGTTTCGTTCCGCCGAAATTTTAAGTTTGATCTGGACTTACTGGGATTATGCAAACAAAGGTCGAGCTTGCTTTGTTGCACGTAGGAAACTCTATATAACGAGCCTCTAATTAACGAAGTCCTTGTTAACGACGGATTCGTCACCTCATTAGTGAATATTTATCTAGATTGTGGAAAAGAGCCTGGATATAATAAAACCTATATTCTAGAAAATTAGATGCCGCGAAAATTTTTCATGCCACAAAGTAGGTGCCCTAATTCTTCGCTCTTTTTCGCGGGCTATTTATTGTAAAGTTTCTTTTGCGGTACAAAAGAATCTGCTTGCAACGTACAATAACTTACCGATAACCAGTTGCGAAATTGTTGAGGTACTCATTTGTATTTGTAATTTAATAACCTTTGTTAATTTTTCACTTTTAAATAATGTATACAACAGGCAATACGAAGTACCTTACACTGCGAAACAGCCGGCATCCTTAAGTATGTCAAGAACGTGCGCGACAGCGGTCAAACAAGTGTGAATCGCGTGGGCACCTTGAAAAATCCGATTTTGTGCTAGGAGATATTTGACTACTCTGAATGATGCGCTGATAACTAAAATTAATTGTAGGCTCTTAGCCAATGAGATGACGGTAAGTACAATGTAGTCCATATCAATATGGCTGTTGCCTAACTACTTGTTGTTTATTGTTGCCAGTGCACCTATGAACCGGAAGAATGTAGAGAGAAACAGGAAGCGGAACACAAACTTCTTAAGTCAGCCCAGTGTGGCAATCCCACTGGAGAATCACTAACGTGCTACTACAACCCAAAAGACCCTGATGAAATCGTCCACCAGAAGGCTTCGACAGGAAGTTACAACAGACTGGTACTACAAAACATGGCGTGGGCCACTGGCATTGTGGTACTAGGTCTTGCTGTTGTCATAGCAGCAGGATGTTTTATTTCCTCCTACCACCGTCGATACAGTTACCATCGAATTGATGACAACTCGATTCTTTGAGAAGCAGCAGCTGGAAATAAAGACACAGCAAGGCAACAGGAAAAAATGACTGTACCAGGAGGCGGTACTTGTTGATGTCCCAATTGGAATGACCCCTAGGGAGCGAGAAGCTAAAGCAAGACGTACGGACGAAGGAGTTGATTTCCACAATTGACAATTGTCACAATTCACACCCTAAACAACAGACAATGAAGGCAATTATGGACAGCATTTTGAAAATTTGACAAGACAACCAATATTCATTTTTTTCGTTGAATCGTATTACCAGTTTCCTTCTTGATGTTCAAAGACTGAAATGAAACGAGAATTTCGTGTATCAATGTTAGAAAAGTATTGTTCAAAATCGGTGACAAGTGATATTTGCTCTGCTCTGTCCCGTGCTTTCAGATGTGTTCAGGGAAGTCCTTAGCATCGTTTTCGTTACAGTACGTTGTTTTTTTTGTTGTTCTTTAAGTCAAAAAAGTTTGGATACCTAGCACATGGACGGATAAGAAACAACGCCTCGAAGACTGTTTTTGCTAAGCGGAGCCCGGATGGCGGGTTGTAAGAAAGCATTTTGTAAATATATCATGTAAAGAATTATTTCGTTGGAGGAAGATATTAATAATAAGAAGAACCAAGAGGAACAATTAATTTGTTTCATATACAACTGTTCATTTTTCTTTCAAGGTTTAATGGTAACTATAACAAAATTTTCTGATCTGATTGGCTATCGGCAGCCCTGATTTCATTACTCTATGCTGTGGTATCGTTTATTCTCAGCGATCTCGATTCTGTGGAAATCCTGTCAAACCAGTGCAAAAGTTAATTGCAAAATACGTATTCGACTGCTCTAAGAAAAGAAGATCATTGGTTGTTTAGGTTAACATTGATTATAGTTCCACTAGTGTGCAATTTGTGTTATGATTTTAAATGATTTTGATAAAGTCGATGTACATAGGACTGTATAAGACTCCAAATAAAGCATTGTCTTGTCTTGTCTTGTCTATGTTGTCCGGGGGGGGGGCGGGGACCCCGCATATGAAAGGGGTGGGGATGCTCGTTGAAAATTTTGAATTAAACCCCTAAGGAGACCGATCTGGGCGGGGCCCAAGCTTTTTTTGACCCATAAGAGACCATGTTAAAACACAGACAATCTATATTTTTCGCGTGCAACCCTAAACGAGACCTTCACGGCTATGGCGTTTTGTCCAGAACACCCTAAGTGAAACTAAAATCCGAAATTTATACCCCTAAGCGAGACGAAAAGCATCCCCACTCCTTTTATATTGGAAGTCCCCCCCCCCCGGGATGTTGTCGTCCTAATTCAACGCTTACGGCCACGCTGGCTATCCGATGTCAGTTTCATATCGTTAGACGATTTGTTTGTTGACGCAGAGCTGTCACGTTATTAAATTGGGGGCGTAAATAGAAAACAAGGGTCTCCGCTGCAGGTGCCTCCTCTTCTTCCAACCCCCCTCCCCCCCTCTCGCGCGTCCTCGAGATTTCTTCCTTCGCCCTTAAAAAGAAAGCTGCCCCTGCTACGCAGGTACGATCTAGGGTTCTCCATGGGAATAAGGTTGCATTTAACAAAGTCCTCGGTATTACGAAAGATTTTCTTTGTCTCAGTAATAGTAAAATATACGAAAAAGAACCTCGATACTAACGAAACCTCGTTATAGCAACAAATTTTGCCAGTCCCTTGGCCTCTCGTTACATCGAGGTTCCACTGTTGTCGAGTGCTCCCCCTCCCCTTCCCCCTCCCCCACCTTGATGTAGATAATAATTGTAATAATAATTGTGGCAAGTCCTTAAATAACTACTCGTTTAAGTATGGAGTAAATAAACTAAACAATGTTAAATCTTACAAATATCTGGGAATGACACTGAACCCGTATGGAAATTTTAGTTTAGCTAGAGAAGAGTTAAAAAACGTTGGGCTTAAGGCACTTTATAAACTAAGAAAAGAGATGGGTGACAACTTTAGAGAAAATATTGTGCTGACGATTAAGCTATTCGATGCTCTGATATCCCCCATACTTCTCTACGGAAGTGAAATTTGGGGTGTTGACCGTAACGACCAAATAGAAAAAGATCCCACAGAACTAGTTCAAATTAAATTCTTGAAATGGTTGCTTGGTGTAAATAAATACTCCAGCGACAATGCATGTAGGGCTGAAACAGGAAGATTCCCAATGAAAATCGAAGCACAATATTGGAATTTTAAGTTTTGGCTAACTCTACCCAAACACCCAAAACACAAATTATCACAGGTGGTTTATAATGATATGAAGTCGAGAATGAATAAGGAATTATGGAGCCAAAAAATCAAACGCGTATTAGACCAAATAGGGCTGGGATACCTCTGGACAAAAGCACATGAAAATGACATAGGAATCTTGAACATTATCAAACAAAGACTGAAAGACATAGAATTACAAAGATGGTTAAGTGACGTAAACAATGACGTAAGAAAAGACGCCGCACAACCAAAAGAGCAAACTAAGAACCTTCCGAAAATTTAAAACAATAGAAAATTATAAATGTGACGATTATCTCCGTCAGGTCACCAACGTCCAAAACTGGATAACTCTCACTAAACTCCGTCGAAGTAATCACAAATTGGCGATAGAGACAGGTCGGTATGTAAGACCTTATAAGAAACCGGAAGAGAGGATCTGTCCTATCTGTAAAAAAAACGTAGAAGATGAAATACACTTTTTAACTCTGTGCCCTACGTATCAAGAAAAAAGAAGTACTTTATTTGAATACTTAAACAAAGAATACAGAATATCAGTAAACAGAATGGCACCAGATGATGTTTTTCTGTTGTTAATAAACCCTCCGAGCAAGAACAAACCAGTGCAAAAGTTAATTGCAAAATACGTATTCGACTGCTATGAGAAAAGAAGATCATTAGTTCTTTAGGTTAACATTGATTATAGTTCCACAAGTGTGCAATTTGTGTTATAATTTTAAATTATTTGGATAAAGTCGATATACATAGGACTGTATAAGACTCCAAATAAGACATTGTCTTGTCTTGTCTTGTCTTGTCTTGTCTACACACGTTCTTCAGTCAGGGTAAAGATCGAGTCACGCCTGTGACGTGACGGGACAGACTTTATTGTGTACCGGAAATGCTAGAAAAATAATACGTGACTTGACAAACAATGAATTTGTGAGCTTTACTGTGCTTCTCTTTTCGTCTTGTTTGTTTAGAGCTTATGGTATTTGATCTCTTGCGATTGAAGTATAACCTATATATGTTTATACACAATTTGTCAATTTCAAAAATGAAAGAAATAAATGTTTTCAAAAACGTATATCGTCAAATCGTGTATCTCTTGGGAGTATCCCCACAGGCAGCCCAAACTCACGTTATTTTGGAATGGGTGTAAGGTAATTTACATACCAAAGCTGACGCGTGACCTGTGAGCTGGACGCACAGCTGTAGCATTAGAGGCAACCGTTGTTTTGGTAATTGCTCGTCGTTTCCCTGGTTTTTTTTGGTGAAAACGCAGTGGAGTACAACTTAGGTAAGTCTTTTTTATTCATTTCATTGAAGCAAAATTAGATTTAACCTTTTTTTTAGCATTCGCAGATCTCAGTATTTTATTTCTCATACAAAGTTTCTGCGCGTCCAGCACAGCGCGTCCAGCACGGGTCACGCGTCACCTATAGTCTGTAAATTACTTTACACCCTTTCTCCAACAGTCCCGGGGGGGAGTTACTCTGGGAATTTTTGAGTGGGGATGTGCTGCTGGGACCCTGGAACCCTTAACCTATACCAGAGCTAGTTCAGCTGTTTTTTGCTACCTTTTACTACACTAAACTCCCCCAATCCCCCCTATCCTAGAGTAGCTTTTAGGCTGAGTTGCGTGACTTTAAACTTGCCGATTTGATTTTTTTATATTTTTGAGAGGCAATTCCCGGTTTTCCTAGTCTAGACTAAAATCTTCAACCAATTGACCCGGGCCAATTGATCACTTTCCTGGAAAATGATACCCTATTCTAGACCCAAACTCTCTGATTTATATACCCTATCCCAGAGTAAACTGCTTGAAAACCATACCCTTCACAGCGGCACATACTATCCCAGATATGGCAGTACCCCCCGCCCCCCGCCCGAGCCAAGAGTTTTCACTATTTATCGATGTTACTTATCGCGAGTCGGCCTGTATTAAAGCAGACACTAGAGGGTTACTGTAGCATGGCATTCTTCTGAGGTTTCCGCTTTTAAATTACTGTCTATAGAGTACTAAAGTGATGACGTCATAAAAATGAAATTTCTGAAATTATGGGATTTGTCAGGATATTCTGAAAGAACAATGTTTAAGAGGCCCAAAAAAAAATTCGAAGGGTTTGTATGGAGTTTTCTGAGTATAACTGGGCTACGATCTCGGAGACAATTTGCCGCGAAATGCTCATTTTTGGCAAGTAGGCCTCTTAAACATTGTTCTTTCAGAATATTCTGACAAATCCCATAATTTCAGAAATTTCATTTTTATGACGTCATCACTTTAGTACTCTATTGGCATACAGTAGTAGATCAGTGTGGGATGAAATGATTAAGCGAAAAAAGTGTCCATCTGCGGATTTGCGTCAAAGTAGCATCAAGCTGTAATCTTGTGATGAAAACCGCACGCCTCTCGTGACCAAATTAGCAGTGAACACAGGGTGTCAAGTTCTAATTCATGCAATATCGTGCCTAGATATTGAGTCTTTCGCAAGCGTAAACAGTCACTGCGTTCAGTTTGGTTCAGACTAACATAGAAAATGAAATGCTTAAAAACCGAAGCCGCATTTTTAGCTGGGATTGGAGTATTTCTCGTGGGTACGGCCTGTCTCATTGCCGTCGAAGTCCATAACATTTATCCGGCACGAGAGGAACAGAAATTTGAAGAAATAAACTGTACAATTGAATCATGCAACATGGACGCGAGCGCTAAATGTTCCAAACACAAACACGATAATAAAGAGTTTTCCTGTTTAAGGGTTTATGTTGTGTGTGGAAGCAAAGCTGAAAGCAGTGACAGCAATATGCTGTTACAAACTGCTCAGAAGCGTCGTTTGCTAGCAAGAAGTTATCACAGTCTTCATAAACAGGTATGTTCTTTGATGTGTATGTACTTGTTTTTATCGAGTATTGTTACTACAGAACCTGTTGAACGTTTTTAAAACGATTTAAGGGATGTTTGTTTCTTGCATGGAAAGTTTTAATGAATCATTTTCTGCTTAGATCTTTTTAAGGATGTTTGTTTCTTGTATGAAACGTTAACAGAATGGATCATTTTCTTAAGCACGATTTCTGCCAAATACCTGATTACTGACGACGCAATTGCGTAGGAGATTACCCGGGGGGTACTATATGATTATTTGTAGGGGTGGGTGCCGCTGGGACCCTTAATTCCGTGACCTTTGTAGTCTCTTAGCCTGCGTTGCGGCCGGCCCACGTATCGCGTAAAACACTGTTATAGTCGCCAATTGCCTAGGATATTACTCGGGGGGTACTCTACGATTATTTGTAAGGTTGTGTGCCGCTTGGGCCCTTAATTCCGTAGCCTTTGTAGTCTTCGTACAAACCAAACGGCGTACGAATATTTAGCTACAACCGTATTATGTGGGCTTGGCATCAAAAATCCCTAACCTATTCTAGATCTAACCCATGCAACTTTCCCCACTGATCAATTTGCCGTACCTTTGATTTCCGCTGATACCCTTTTGTTTAGAAAATTTAGCCTGGCTTTGCCGCTCGTCTCGCGTCTGACGGCTCCGCCGCCAAGAAGTATCTCACTCAAGGCAACCTCGCCATCTTAGGCTAAACCGCTTGAAAAGCTTGCGTTCAGATTTTCGGGTACTTTTCACTTTCGCATCATCCCCACCATCTGAGAGCCTGGAACAGGCGATAGCTTACAGGTGACAATGCCTTCATGCTCGGAAACAAGTTTCCAATATGTATCGAAAAGAAGTTTCTTTGCGTTTTGGTTTTGTTATTTGTGTCTTAGATCATATCACATTTAGAGTGGAACGAAAAAACTGGAATTTTCTCAGTCCTTCAGTCATTGTAGGGTGAATTAATTGTAAATCGTCCAAATCGTTAAATACATATCTTCACAGCCGCTCTTGCCGTGGCCGGAGTAACGCAACCCTCCCCGTCCCCACGTGGGACCGCCAGAGCAGAGAACACTGGCGTAAGCGTCTTGCAAGCATCTCGTTCCTTCCATATCGGCTCCCACCTTTTTTATTTTTTTTGCTTCCACCCTTTAGCCCTTTTTCTATTGCAAAATATTAAGCATTGTTGCGTAGTTTCCCCCTATTTCTTTCGCTTCCCGCCCCTTTAGAACTCCCCGCACCTCCTACCCTTTTCTCTCCCGGCCCCCCTACCCCCCTCCCCCCCCCTTCTCCCCCCGCCCCCCCCCCCCCCCCCCCCCCCCCCCCCCCCCCCCCCCCCCCGCACACCCCCACGCCCCACTTCACTCCCTCCCCCCTCATA